AAGGTCTTTATACACTGTGTGTGTGTGTGCTTTCTAGCTTATTCATGCAAAACAAAGTCTTCCCCTCCCTCTGTCCTAAAGATGCCAGTACAAAAGTAACCCTCCTTCCAGAGGAGAGATGACACCTCTCAGCAGAGATGGTGAAAAGCAGGATTGAAACACTTATTATTCAGATGACGTGTTTCATAGTATTCGGTACTTTGGAACCTTCTGGAGCCAGGAGGACCAAATCACCCTGAAAATCTCCTCTCCCTTTAGGTGAACAGGGTGTGGTAAGAAGTCCCTTTCTTTACCCTCTCTGTTCTTCAAACACCTTTGATTTGACTTCCAATTTCAGCTCCTACTCCTTTTCATTAAAAACAAACAAACAATCAATTGTTTAATTAAAATGGTATCTTTCTGTACTCAGTCTGCCTCTCTGGCTGGCTGTCTTCGTGCCGTGTCATGGTGGAGTGTGACTCAATAATGGGCAATGAACACATCTCAACCTGCCCTCATCAGGCTCCGGGGTTGCCCGACCGCCATCTTGGCTGGGCCAGGAAGCATGAAGGGGGTGGATACTACCATTGCCACCCCAAGGAGCTGTAAGACTGGCAGGTTTGAGCCAGAAAGAACCCCCAATGGAGGAGCTGTTACCAGGAGGTAGTGTCCCAAAAGCCTTTCCAGAGAAGGATTGTGCAAAACCAGGGACATGTCATCATAGGAAAAGAAATTACTGCACCCCTTTGGGACCCTTCAATGAAAGACTCATTTGGCCAACAGGGACTGGTCAGCCACTTGCTGTTGACTTTTAGAAGCCACTAGGCCCAAGGAGCTCTGGTAGCATAGTGCCTAAGGCACTTGACTGCTAACCAGAAGGCTGGCGGTTCAAACCCACCAGCCACTCCTCGGAAGTAAGGCTGGGCAATCTACTTCCATAGTGATACTGCCTTGGAAACCCATGGAGGGGTCACTATGAGTCGGGTCTGACTCAATGGTACATAACAACAAGAACAACAGACCCAAGTCTCAGCCTTCCTAAAATGAGTCATTCCTAATGTCATAGTGACATTTCCAGGGAAAGGGTAGGTTTGGGGAGTGGTTACACTTGCAGCAAAGCATACCTTTAGTTGGAAAGCCATTTTCTCCAGGACTGGCCTAATCCTATGACCTTGGATAGGTCATAGCTCTCAGCTTTTGGGAAATAAGTCCCCTCTACCCATGTTTTCCCATACCATTCCTTCACAACCCTCCCCAAGCATAGACTCTGCCCTTGCTCTCCATGTGGCCTGAACAGGGGAGGAATCATTAGCTTACTTTCCAGGAGGGGGTTCCTTGGAGCTCCCCTCCCCCAAACACCTGATGAGGCACAAAAACCTTTAGGAGAGAGTCCTTAGCTGAGCACACAAAGAACACGGATTCAGGGTGCTTTTGCTTTTTGGTGGTGTTTATTTTTTGAAACCCACTTGTAGTTTGGGTTCAGCTGGAAAGCAGGACATACCGAGGGAAGGAAGGTGGTTGCGTGAGCAGGATTTGGCTGCAGCTTTGGCGGGAAGCCCCAGGCCCCTGCTCCAGGGAGGTAGGTCCCGTCGTCCAGCTCCCAGCTGGCTCAGGTGAGGTGGGTGGCCCTTCCCCAAAAGTGTCCAGAGCAGAGGGACATTGTCTTTCTGACCCGTGTCCTCAAAGGCCCCGTCTGGGCTTTCCCAACACTGTGCCTGGCAGCTGAATGCCACGATTCCCACAGGCAGGCCCAGAGTCCATCACACAAGAAGCTCTGGCTGCTTCTGACTCCAGATAACAGACTCGGACTTGGCTCCTCGGAGGCCCGTCTGGGGTGGCCCCATGGGGCAGCTCCTCCAGGCAGCCTGGCTGTCTGGGCACCGGCCCTTGCAGCTGCCCAGGGCGTGATCAGTGGTACATTTCCCAACCCCCCACCCCCACCCCTCAGAGAAAATAAAATAAAAATTAGAATAAATACCAACTTGGCCAACATTTACATTTACATGAACAGACAGGATGATCTCCAGACCATAAAGGCTTACAGAGTGGACAAGAAAGGAAAAACAGACAGAAACTGGTTTTGGGGTGCACACCCCCCAGGGAGGGTGGCAGGGCCTCTCAGCCTCGATTAGGGAAGGTTGGGAGCCTTACAGGGACTGCGGCCAGAGCTTAGGCAAAGCCACAGGGCTGTGCGGAGCAGGACTGAGGTGGTGAGTAGCCTGCCTGAGAAGAGAACGATGACTAAAGCCCCCTGACAGCAGAGGGAGAGACGGAAATGGGACCACCATCAGATGGCTGGACTCTGTCTCTTCAACACCAAGAAAGCCATGGGTGAACAGGGGAGCAACACAAGCCTCAGAAACACAAGAGTCAGTTCTGCCTTCCACCAAACACATTCAGAGGCCAAGTGGAATATGGCCGTCCTCACTCAGCAGAGGGGGTTCTGGCCGGGGAGGCCCACTGTACCCCACACAGTTCCTCTCTGAGTGGTCTCCTGTGGAAAGCTGCCTCAGAGTCTTGGACATTAGGCTTTCATGTTGTTTCTTTAAAATAAGCTTTTGAAACATTTTTCTTTCCATGTCTGAAAAAGTAGCAGCTACAGCATTTAGAGAAAATAGTTTAAATGATTATTTGGATGGGCCAGGAAGCGCCTTCAAGCAATGGCATAAACTAGGCAAACCGCATGTCTGGAGCCACCATGACACGACACATAATTAAAAATATATTTATATATGTATACATATTTATAGCTCACTTCTTCCACGTTCTGGTCCTAAGAGTCAAGGCGGGGTTGGCCGTGAGGCGAGACCACCGAGGGGAACCGTCAGGAGGAAGGCGGCAACAGGCCCACCTGTATCAGCCTCTATAGGAAACACAGACCCTCCACACATGTTCTAGAGCCCCTTTCATGGGGTCTCTGAGCTCAGGGAAGGGTCCGACCTGAGTCAGACCTTCTACTGACCTGAGTGCTCCCTCCTGGGCCTCTCTCTTCTTCCTGGGCCTTGCTTTTGTCTCAGCAGAGGAATGTGCACGCACATGTTGTACACATACTCGCACATGCACACATACTCATACTCACACTCATACCACACACTTGAGGGAAGTGCTCCCCCATTAAGCACAGGTGTGATCCTCTTAGGGCTGCGTGCCAGGCTGGGACTGTAAGACTCCAGGGAGCTTGATTTTCCAGGCTCCATGAACATCCTAACATCGTCCCAGCTCCTCCCTCAAGGCCTCCTGAGGGGCTCCTGGTGTCCACGGGCCCCAGGCTGGGTCTGAGGTACCAGCTGAGGTGGAAAGCACAAAGGAGAAGCTTGAGAAAGCTCGGCGGGGGGGGGGGGGGGGGGGGGGGGGGGGTAAGGGGAGGAAGAAGGGGTCAGGGGCAACATAGGGTTCTCACCAGTCCTCCACACCTCGTCCCCACAGGCTCACACCCAGGGGACAGAGGCAGGTTGAGGCTAGTGAGGAAAACCAGGGAGTACTGGGGACTGTCTCCCCATCCCATCCCCGGCCAGTCAGATTTGGACCAAATGGCCAAGGAAGTGACCCACCCCCATAAAGGAGTAAGTTAAGGAAGCCTTTGGCTGCTGATGTCATTCTCTGGGGCTCTTTTCCAGTGGGGACCCCAGCCCTGGAGATGGAGCTGGGCAGACGCCGGTACAGCTCATGAAGCCAGCCTCCCCGCACTCAAGCCCTGGCCTCCTCTCTAACCGTCAGCTCACTAGAACCTTGTCCTTCTAGGAAATCCTAGCCTTGCTTCTGGCTGGGAAAGCTCCCTCTGGCAGCCCTAAACGGTCACCTGGCAACGCCAGTCCCATCATGACTCAGTGGATCCCCCTCCTTCCTGGCCCCACTGGGGCTGTAGAGCCCTCCCTGGAGCCACAGACCGAGGTTGGGGGAAGCTGGGCTTCTGGGTCCTGTCTGTGATGAGGCTGGGGGTACGTCACAGCCCACTGAGCTAAGGGGCATAGGCCCAGGCAGCCCAGGCCCCCAGGCCCCAACTTTGTCCCCAGAAAGAGCTTGGGACCAGCAGTATGTATGGAGCTGGGAACCGTCACCAAGCATGTTGGTTTTAATTTGCCGGCCATGCTTTGTGCCCTGTTTGCCACACAGCCTCGGGGGCCAGGACTGGCTTGAATGCAGTTCCAGTGGCGACAGTATCAGCCCTTTGAGAGAAAGCAAAGCTAAAATGAGATGGCAGGGGCGCTGGAGGCTAGTGGCTGAGGAACACAGGATTCCAGCAGGGACCCCCGCCGGGCCAGAAGTTTCCAATTACCCTAATTGGCTACTGGCAAGCTGTCTGTGGCTAGAATCCTTCCAGCAGGCTCAGGTCTGCGCTCAAGCTAATCAGAGGGTCCTCAGAGGGCGGAATGCGCGCCCACCACGGGCTCTTTCCATTGAGAAAAGAGACTTCAAAGGAGCCGGCTTTTGGAAAATAAAACAAGAGCGCAAATATAGCTGCAAGCTCCCTCTCTTCCTGCTCCGACCCCCCAGGTCTGAGCCCTGGGGGCAGGGACTGAAGTAGGGGCGGGAGGAGCCTGAAGGTGACAGGAAAGGCGAGTCTGTTCCCTGCTCCACCAACCGAGGCTGACAAAGGCCGTCAATTATGGTGGCTCTAGGGACTGTGGCTGCCTTTGTCCTCAGGGACATCTGCTACACGTTGCCTCCTGCCAGTTGGCGACGCAGCGGACAGAATGTGGAACAATGCATGCCCGTTTCCGACCCACTTTTGCAGCCTTCGAGGTCCCTTCTGACCCACGCCAGCCCCCGATGGGCGAGGCTGGGGGGTCTTGGAGGAGTCACAGAGATGAAACCAGGCACAAAGCCCCTGTGGGGGGTGTGCTGGGTGGGAGGGGGCGAGGAGGGCAGGGATGAGGGAGGATGAGGCTGGGGCCACCACAAGAAAGAAACATGCGTCCCTTATTGGTGTGCGCGCGGCATGCTCAGGCTGGGGGCTCAGGTGGGGGGCTCCTCTTCTCCCTTATTGGTGTGCACACGGCATGCTCGGGCTGGGGGCTCAGGTGGGGGGCTTCTCTCAGGGGTCGGATCCCATCCCTGCCTGGCTCCAGCCTGGCCCCTGGCTCTGCCTGCCTTCCTCCCCACCACCTTTTCCCACCAGGGCCACCCCTGTCCTCCTGACTGTCCATCTGGCTCTGCGCACCAGGGCCCCAGCTGTCTGCGGGCCGCCCGCCAGTCCCCCTGGCTGTCAGGCTGTCAGTTTCTGGATGGTTCTGTTGTAGTACTGCATGATGGGGGGTGTCAGAGGGTTCCAGCTGTTGGCGTGGAGTTCAATGACCTCCAGGAGCAGCGACCGGGTCAGCATGGACTCTGAGGGGCACAGCATCTTGTCACGGGCACTGGCCAGGAGCTCTGTCATCATCTCGGGGAGCTGCTCCTCCAGCAGCCGGCCCGTACTCTGCAGCTGTGGGCAAAGGACAGAGGTTAGGATGGGCCGTGGCTGCCAAGGCCCTGCCCTACCTTTCTCAGGGGCACTGGGACAGAAATGGGACAGAGCTGGACTGTCTTAGGGACGTGCAGCCCAGGCTTCCAGGAGGACAGGGTGGGTTGAGGGTGTTGTAAGGTGCCATTGAGGCCACTGTGACTCGTAGCGACCCCATGAAACAGAGTAGAACTGCCCCATAGGGTTTTCTTGGCTGTAATCTTTACAGGAGCAGATGGCCAGGTCTTTGTCCCATGGAGCCACTGGGAGAAACTACTAACCATAAGGTGCTACCAGGGCTCCTTCTCCAACGGTGAGAACCACATTAACCATTCAATCTGCTGAAAGGAACAAGAGGGAACAGACTATTGTCTGCCACCCAAGGCTGAAAGGAGCCTCACCAAGGACATGCAACTTCACCCTCTCAGTCAACAGCCTCCTCCTCCAGGAAGCCTTCCCTGACTAAGACCCACA